CACCTTTACTTGCATTGGTTTCTAACTAGAAATGCTGTTTCCATACTGAGCTCCGATTACTTAAGATATCCATTATGAATCAATATTATATAGTTTAAAGATTAATTGCGATGACAACCTTGAGCTTTTGAATCTACAGATTTAAACAAACAGTTGAATTTATTGTTTCCTTCACAAGGCACAGGGGAAGAATTTCTAACAAGTAGTCACTAGGCTGGGCTCAAAGTTGTTACTATATGCTCTATGATACTGTTCATTTTAAATTAATCTACCAAAAAGGATGATGTTGAGTTACTTCCTTTCTCTAAAACAATAATATTGTTCATACACACATACCTAATGTTGAAGATAAAAGCAATGAATTTATGCTTAACAGTGCTGCAGTTTTCCTTCTCTCGTCCTTCCCCTCTTCATCTCTACCCTCTCCACCACCACCAGCACCCCACCATCACCAGCCTTATGGGGCAGGATTAAGTGCTATAGTTTCACTTGGTCTTTTGTTTTGTTTTTAAATTCTTTCCTTTGAAAGAATTTCAAAAGAAAATAGAAAAAACTAATGGCCAAAAGAAACTCATTTCTCTTTTCCACAGGACTGTGGAAAAGATTCTAATTATCAAGCCTGAATCAAGAAGTATGATCAATCCTCCATCTTTTAAAAAAAAGAAAAAAACCCTTAGGCTGTAAGGAGCTTATTCTATAATCCAAGCTACATGGGAGGTATAGGTAGGAAGACTGCAATCAGAAGCCAACCCTGGGCAAAAACACAAGATCCTAACTGAAAAATAACTAAAGAGCTAGGGGCCATGGCTCAAGTGGCAGAGCACCTGCCTAGCAAGGACAAGACCCTAAGTCCAAATACCAGTATGGGGGGTGGAGGACAGACCATAGGCTGCTTTACCCATAAATACATAATTAAAAATTAATACTTAAAGGATTTTTATCAAATCCCTAACCATGATTTCTGCTTAGACTACAATGACAGTGACAGCATCCTAGTACAGCTATGACAGAAGCACATATAATGATACTGTAATTGAACAAATGAGGACAGCTAGAGCTCTCTTCACACATTACCCTTCCTATCTGAGCCTCTCAAGTGCTCTCAAGGACTCCATCTGAACATAAGCCTGTCCTCAGTATTTGCATGTACACAAAATCATAATCACCACGTATGAGATAACAGATGTGAGGGGTTACAAACAAACCTACTAAGAGCTATGCAAAAGTAAAGTATTATCATTATACATTTGGTGTATACCATAGCTTTCAATACCAAAAACACTATTGCTTTTCAAGTAATTCACACTATAACCACTTATGTAACTACTTCCTTAAACTCCTTCTTTCAAAAAAGATTAGTACAAATGGCTAATAAATACATGAAGAGGTGCTCAGCTTCCCTGGCCATAAAAGAAATGCAAATCAAAACTACACTAAGATTTCATCTTATTCCAGTTAGAATGGCTATCACCAAGAACACAACAAATGCTAGCGAGAATGCGATAAAACACAAACCATTATATACCGTTGGTGGGAATGAAGATTAGTACAACCATTATGGAAAGCAGTATGGAGATTGCTTAAAAAACTAAAAATAGAATGGCCATATGATACAGTGATACCACTCCTGGGCATATACCCGAAGGAATGTGAGTCAGGTGACAATAGAGATACTTGCATGCCATTATTTAGCACAGCACTGTTCACAACAGCCAAGCTACAGAAACAACCCAGATGCCCAACAACTGATGAATGGATTAAGAAAATGTGGTATATATGCACAATGGAGTTTTACTCAGCCATAAGGAATAATGAAACTGGTGTGAAGGTAAATGGATGAAATTGGAGCCATAATCTTAAGTGAAATAAGCCAGGTTCAGAAAGACAAAAGCCACATGTTTTCTCTCAAACATGGAAGATAGAAACAAAAGATAAACATATACACTAAAACAAACATGATTATATACAAATTAATATGTAGAACACATTTCTTCTTTATGGCATTTGGGGAGGAGGGAAGGGTAAATAGAATGATACAGAGTCAGCAATATTGAAATGCATTACATCTGTGCAGGTAGAGGACATAAGGATATGTACTGAAAGCTGTTGAATAATGGGGGAAGGAGGAGAGGGGTAAGGGAGAGTAACAGAGTGGGTTGAACTGATCATAGTTAAGTATCCTCACAGCGGGGACACATTGAGAAACACCTTTGAACACTGACTTTGGAATTGAAAATGAAAGACAGGATTGTAAAACAGGTAGCTTGGGGGCAGTACTGGTCAGAGGAGGGAGGGTAATTGGAGGAGATGAAGGTGAGGGAATATGGTTGGTGGCTTCATATACATACATGAAATAGAGCAATGAAACCTCTGGTAATTACTTTAAGTGAAGTAGGGAGGAGGCTGTGGCAGGGGAGAAAGATGATGGGGTGACCTAACCAATGTACAAAGTCAGGCTTTTCAGAACTGGCACAATGAATCCCCCCCTGTATAATGAATATATGCTAATAAAAATGAAAAAAAATTCATACATTTTGTTTGTTTTGTTTTGGCAGTAATGGGGTTTGAACTCAGGGCCTATACCTTGAGCCACTCCACCAGCCCTCTTTTTTTGTTGGGTTTTTTCAAGATAGGGTCTCATGAACTATATTGCCCAGGCTGGCTTTGAACTGTGATTCTCCTGGTCTCTGCCTCCTGAGTAGCTAGGATTACGGGCATGAGCCACCAGTGCCTGGCAAGATTGGTACATTTTGAAAGGGGTCTCATTTCTCTTTTTCTCCTTTATTGATGAGGACAAAAATATAAGTTGACTTATTCAAACATAATTTTTTTTATCCTCTTGGCAAAGGAGTTTACTGTAAAAGGAATCCGACATTTAATTATCCAATTTTATGCGATGACATTTAAATAACAATTAATAAATTGAACCAATATTCCCACAAATATCTGAATTGATATGTTTTAATTTCAAGAATAAAATATTCTAATGTAACTGGACTTGCCAAATGCTATGTACAATATTGTTTGTTCATTCTAAACCTAAGCTAAAGTTCAGAAAAACATATAACATTGTTTTGTTTGGTTGTAGTACTTTATAAATGCTTTTATTTTACCATTCACCAAACCTCTTTTGTTTAGTTATTCAAACTAACTTCTACTAAGAACACTAAGAATTTGGTGATAGTTCTTCTTTTCAGAGAAAAACAACCCCTTTTCCTCAACAAATTGAAAGTGTTTATCTTGGCACTTAACCTTGAATTGAGCCTTCTGGAAAGTATTTTACACTGTTGTTTTTAACCCAGACTTTGTGACTGAAACAGGAAAAGGTTCCATAGCTCTGCACCAAAACACATATTTATAGGGCTAATTTTCTTTCTACACCAAAAATACTAGGTTGATGGCAGAAGTTTTTAAAACACAATTTCCTAGAACCATACTACAAATTGAGCATTTATCAGAGTATTCAACATACAATTTGTTACCTTAAAAACTTATGATGAAGAAATGCTAAACATTAAGCATGTATGTTATCAGATTGCTTCACTTAATTACCTATTCTGTTAGGAATTTTCACAAGGAAAAAATTTATGTTACACTGTGCTTTCCTCCTAAGCATGCCAAAGTTGTGTTTCTAACTTTGTAATTTTTTGTGACTGCATTTTCCCTAATGTATACGCTATATCTTCAGACTAGACAGGACATAAAGATATAAAGATAAACCGTGCAATTTTTTGCAGTATTGTCTTAATAATATTTCTGCTACGATTATTTTAAATTATTAAATTATCTTAAATTACTAAAATATAAGAAAGAGACAACAGTCTAGTATATAGCATAATAGTAAACCAGTGTAGTACACTGTGTTGTAGTGTGGATGGAACACAGTGAAAATAATACATCAGAAACTTTCAGATTGTGCATGTGAGTCAGTGGTAGAGGGCCTGCCCAGCATCCATCAGGTCCTGGGGACTAAGGAGGGAGGGAGGGAGCGAAGAAGTAAGGGAGGAACATGGGGAGGAAAAAAGGAGAGGAGGAGAAATCCTCTATATTCTCTTATCTTCATTCTTTATAAATTTTGTCCTAATACCCAGGCTGTCTCTTTTAAAAGAATAATCACAGCAACATCATCATTTTGGATTTGCATATAACATTTTTGAAAAGTCAAAATAATTTGACTTTTCTAATGAGAAATCCATGGTTTAAAATTACTTGTATGGTTTAATTTTCTTATTTTAAAAATGATAAACATATCTACAAAACATATGTTAATAAAAATCCATAAATCCCTTTGTCTACAGAGTGCAATTCTTAATTTTAAAAACTCTGTCATTTTTGTTGTGAGTAAATTCTACCTCGACCCAGAAAGACCAAGAAAGATTTATTAAAATGTATATAATAAGAATAGCATAAATCGGAATTAATTGATATCACTGAAAATGAAAATCATAATCAAAAATCATTTTCATAGTACTGTGGTTATTTGAAGAGGACAGACACCCTCATTGGCATTCATATCTTGAGCAGTCCTAGCATGCTCCTCCCACAGGCTAAGCAAACAGTACTCCTCTGAGGTGTGCACAAGCCTAACACCTGCAGAGGATGAGTAGTGTGCTAAGTTACCTTCACAGAAAGCTTACTTACATGGAATAGACCCCTGCTATTACTTTTTCTCATGTAAACTTAAAATGTTTTATCAGGAGAATACAGAATATTTAAAATCAGGTTCATAAAAACAAAAATCCATTTATCCCTTTATATTCATTTTCCAGGATGAGCCCAAAGGGTATGAAGGGAAAAAAGCAAATTCTCCTTCCTTCTTTTTCTCTTTTCTCTACTCACAAAGGGGTAGGGATTTATCTCTAACCACTTTGGAGAGGGAAAAAAACATGCCACTTGTAAGGGGTAATTATTTGGGGAAATACTTTAGTTTCATGGTTGAAAACAAATTATGAAGGGATACTATTTTATATTTTAAAGTAAATAGGTATAAAAGATCATACCTGAAAAAGAACATGTACATGGCTGCTGTGATGCAGAACAAAAGGACCTGAAACAAGAAGAAAACACATTACTTGCAAAAGAACACCAATACCATCATTTATGTTAAATAAAAAAGCAAAATATCCACTACTGAGTTTTGTGCCTGAAACAATAAAAGGATATATAAAACTAGTCATGCATGTGTCACATTCTCTATCTTCCAAATAAACTATATTAAGGCAACAATAAGCAATAATTATTTATAATTACAACATACACATATGACATATGTAAAATTGTCCCTAGGTATCCATCCAAGAAAGATTGTTTTCAAGACCAACACACCCAACTACCCCATTCCCACAGATACCCAAATTCAAATTCATAAATGATCAACTCTCTTATATAAAATGGCTCAGTCTGTGCATATAACTTATATCCTCCTGTGTATTTTAAATCATCTCTAGGTTATTTAAATATCATCATAGATTATTTATAATATCTAATATAACATAAATGCTATGTAAACATTTGTTATACTCTATCATTTAGGGAAAATAACTTTTTAAAAATCTGAAGATGTTCAGTACAGCTCACCAATAGTTTTTTCTGAATACTTTCAATCAGTAGTTGGCTGAATCCATGGATACAGAACACAATGATACAGAAGGCCCAATATGTATGTGCATGCATACACACACACACACAAATATAGTACTCATACACATGCACACGCAAGTTGTACAGACTGGATAGAAAGGTGACAGGGCTCAAAAAAGGGGAAGGCAATTTTTTAACTTGTCTGTTAGACTATCTGAAGAATCAAGTAACTTCAGAACAAGTACAGTAGCTTCTATATATTCAAAGCCAGGGACAAAAAAGAAAGCCTGTTAACTATTACATCATGACATCCAGATTTTTTTAATATAAAATACATTTCAGTTGACAGCCAATTCTGATCAATGAGAAAAACTCATAAAAATATAATCATGCTTTATGGAATACGAACTAGCTATAAAAAAGCAGCACTCCTTTAAAAAAAAAAGCATAATAATGTACAATAAATCTAATTGAAGAAGTTTCCCCAAAAAATATACTAAAACCTACTAAGATGGTATATATAAAGAATCCAGAACTCCAGTCCTGACTAAAGGCTTAGTTAGACAACATCACTAAAGTTGTTTTAAAACATCACAAATAAGGACATGGTAAATACATTCCTGTGTTAGCAACAATGGTGTAAAGTACACATGGGGGTTGTCAATGCTTTCACATCATAGACAAGTAAGAAATGAACAGTCTTTCAGCTTGGAAAGGCCTGACCACAAGAACAATAAAAATGAAAATGGTGAAAAGCAATATTTTGCTATTTCCAGCACATTTTCAAGTCAACTTGAGTAAAAGTATAATGGTTAGCTATTATAAATCAAGCTTCACAGGGTTGCCATTTTAGCCCACTGTAAGCATTATAAATATAACTTGATTGACTTAGAATAAATAAGCACACCAGCCCAAAGAAGACTGGTATCAATTACTACTAAACAAACACACATACATGTATTTGTATAACAGCTAGTGTACTACATATATACATACCCACTATTCTCTCAACCTCCTTCCTTCCCTCTACCCTTCCTCCACCTCTTCTTTCCATTACCATTTAAAAATATTTTATCCAAAATAACTAAGGTTATTAGCTTTTAGAAACATAAAGCATATGGGATAATTTTTATTGATTAATCAACTATAAATTAAAGTCCAGGTGAGTTTTTCACTGGCTATAATTTGCTAGTCAAAACCCAGATCACGAAATTTGGCCTTTTTTTCACTATCATTCTATTCCTTTGGGTAATGCCAGACTTCCCAGATGTTCAATGTTTCATGTTTTCCCCACATTAATCATTAATCAATGTCCACCTGGCTGACTCCACTAGAAAACCTCTCTTAGACGTGCCTCACAAATCTTCCTCATGTTCTCCACCCTCTAAACTAAAGAACACACTGAAAGTCTTCTTCTTCCCTCAAGTTGTCAAGTTATCCTAACACGCTAAACCTATCCTGTGATAACTGTCAGATAATTATCCTTATAAACAATACATTTGAAATTGGGAAAAATGTTAAAAAACCCAATCTTTGGAGTAAGGCAGATACAGGTTTCAATCTTTGTTCTGTCTGATTTGGGGTACTTGCTATGATTTCCCAAAGGCTTAATTTCTTTATCTATAAACTGATACTAATAGCTTGCTTTGAATTAAAGTGAAGAATCTATGAGATGATGCTTGCAAAAGTGCCAGGCATTCAGCAAGTTGTTTTTGTTTTCTTACTCATAGAAGTGATCTAGATACAAAAACCCAGCCCAAGACATAGGGATGGGAAGAAATCATTTTAAGTAATTGGAATCTCTTGAATCACCAATAAATGGAGCTCATTTATTTCATATGGCAACTAATCAAGACAAGAAACTCATACAAGTAGGGAACAAACCTAAGGAACATTAAAGTACAATTGATGAACTAATTCCACAAATATTTCTGGAACACTTACTATATACCAGGCATTTATTTAAAACGTACCACAGCACACAATGTAAACAAAGTCCCTACCCTCATAAAAGTTATCTTCTAGTCATGTGAGAGAGGGCATTGGAAAAAAAGTACGTCACTCTGCGGTATGAGTTTTAGAGGAAAATAAGGTAGGATAAGGAAAAAGAAATATAGGAGAATGGAGAGTGTTGTTTTATACAAAGTGGTCAAGGAAGCAGAGAATTGTTAAGAGAGACAATGAGGTGATGGGGTATAAATAAGCCAAGGAATCAAATCAACAGAGCCACTGGAAGGACTCTGGATTTTATCAAGAAAGATGGGAACTTATTGTAAAGTATGTTTAATATTATATTAATTAAACCTGCTAAAGAAAGGATTTCATGTTTAGCTAGTGTTAGTCAGCCTTCCATTGCTGGAACAAAGTACCTGAAACACTCCACTAATAAAGAGGAAAATATATTTTGACTTCAGTCCATGGTTGCTTGGCCCTGTTGCTTTGGGTTTGTAGCACCACAGTACTTCACGGTCAGAGCATGCCATAGAGGAAACTGCTCACCTCATGGGAACCAGGATGCAAAGAGAGAGAGGAAAGGGATGGGGTCCCAAAATCCTCTTCACAGCACACCCCACCTCCCAGCAGACCCCACCACCTCCAGTAGGGCCACAGGCTGGCAACCAAGCCTTTAACACTTGAAGTTTGGGGAACATTCAAGATCCAAACTGTAACACTAAGTAGCATTTTAAAAATTCATTATGCTAGTTTATTAATCATTGTGAGCTCAATAAGATACTTTTCCAAATAAATGTAACTCTTAAGTTAAATAAGGAAGAATATCTTGTTTTAAAAATTATAGATTTTGAGAGCTAAAAGAAACTTCAAAGTAAACCACTGAGCTTTTTTTTTTTTTTTTTTTTTTGATATTAGGAAACTGAGATCGTGAGAGGGTAGGTGGTATGTCCATGCTTATCTGACTGGCTGCTTCTTGCAATCCTACATTAAGTAAATATTGGGAAAACTGTTACATACAGAAGATACTTAAATACAGTTCTGACTTCCAGGAGCTTACAGGGTACTACTATTCCACAGTCCAGTACAGTAACTAATGGACACTTGTGGCTACCTAAATGCTTTAATAGTTTTATTGAGAGATCACTGATATAAGCTGAATGTATTTAAAGCGTACAATTTTGAAAGTTTTGACACAGGTTTATATGTGCAAAATCATCATAATAAAAATAATGAACATATTCATCACACACAAAAAGATGTTTATGGCATTTTCTCATTATTTGATAACAACTCTAGATTTCATTAACTTAGTGTTAATATTCTTTTACTTTTCACCAATTGCGGTCATTATACTTGAAGTTTATTGCTTTTTGTCTTTTTTTTAATAAATACTAAAAATCTCTGTCACTTAACTCAGATCTTTGTATTATTTATATTTAATGTGATTAAGGGCATGTTTAGATTTAAATCTACCACTTTACTATATATTTTTCTATTTATCTTTTGATTCTTTTTTCCTCCTCGCTACCTTTTTTGGAGTAACTGGATTTTTTTATGATTCCACTGTCTACTTTATTGGCTTATTTTACAGGTTGTTTTAGAGTTCACAGTATATATTTTTAAATTGATCCTGCCAACATTCCAATATTATAACATTTAATGTATAGGAACTATAAAAAAAGTATATTTCCCTTTTTCCCCATCTTTGTACAATTACCATCCACTCTACGTGTGTCCATGTGTATAACAAATTCACCACTACATTTTAATTGATTTTCCTTAAAAATACACATCTGACTTTTTTCACTTCGCTTTCAAAGATACTTTTTCTAGGTTGATGGGTCATTTTCTTTCTGTAGTTTAGAGAAGTCACCCAAATGTTCTGTCACAATTTGATTATGGTGTGCTTTGAAGTGGCTGCTTCATCGTGTTTCTTGCACAGAGTTTTCTTAAGCTTCTTGGATCTATGAGGTCATAGTTTCCATCAAATTTAAAATTTTTCAGCTGTAATTTCATCAAATATGTTCCTTCCCTTTCTCTTTTCCTTCAAGAACTCCAATTACACAATAAGGCATCTGCAATTATCCTACTACTCACAGAATCTCTCTGTTAAAAATTTTTTCTATTAAAAAAAAATCTCATTCCTCTCTGTTTCATTTTAGATTCTTTCTGTTGTTTTATCTTGAAATTCACTAATTTTTCTGCAATGTGTAATCTACCATCAATGTATATACACACAAACTTTACATCTCATTCACTGCAATTTTCACACGCAGAAGTGTGATTTGGATTTTTATCCTCTCTTCCATGTTGTAATTTAACCTTTTTGAAATACAGGGTTTAATTACAATAATTCTTTTTAATGTCCTTGCCTGCTAATTCTAACATCTTTCTTGGCTCTGGATTGGTATTAATTGGCTGACTTCTCATCACAAGTCAAATTCCCATCTTTTACTGCACAGTGGTCATTTTCTACTTGACGTCAAGTATTTCAAATTTCACCGCATTGAGTAT